CCCGGCCAGCGCTGCGCCCTGCCACCACCCTGCTGTCTGCCTGCCTCCTACCGCCCTGCTACACTCCCGGCCTTCCAGCGGGCAGTGCAGCTCTTTGCACGTCTGGGCCCTGGCATGGCTACACCGCTGCGCCAGCCTCCTCCCCGTGTCATCCCTGCACCTGCCCTGCACCTCCTTGCAGGACCACCGAATTTCTGTGGGCTGCCAGCCAGGGCAACGAGACCAAGGTACGGCAGATGCTGCAGCAGGGCTGCCCCGCAGACTCGGCTGATTATGGTGAGCCTGAGGCCAGCGTGCATGTTGTCACCAGCTGCCGCTTGACTGAGCCTGGTCTGGGGGAATCGAGTGAGGGAGGAAGGGGGAGTGAGTTTGGAAGGCTGCTGGGTGGATGAATGGAGGTTGGCGTATCGCTCGGGAGCTCCCTGTGTGCCTTGTGACTCCTGCTGGTCTAACCCCTGCCGTGCCGGGGCGTGCGCGCTTCCCCTGGTGCAGACGGGCGCACAGCGCTGGAGCTGGCGTGTGTGAAGGGGCATGCCGGGGTGGTCGACATGCTGCTGGCGGCGGGAGCTGACGCCAACCTGCAGGTGTGCAGCAGCGCCAGGCTGGCGGGCTGGCGCCGCTGGTGCTGCCGCATTGTACACACGTCACAGTTGCATGTTTATGAGTGGAATGTAGGGCTGCGGTTTCGCAACGTACAGCCCTGGCTGCTTGCTGTGCCTTTCCTGCTGGCCTGCAGGATGCGCTTGGTAGCTGCGCGCTGCTGGAGGCCTGCAAGTATGGGCATGACAACCTGGTGGCGCTGCTGAAAAAGGTGGGAGGGCGGAGGCAAGTTTTGTGCGCCAGGTGTTTGTCAGCCTGCTCCTGTGCCAGCAGCCGCAATGGCAGAGCACTGCAAGAAGCCTGCCGTGCCCGGGTTGTATGTCCGCCTCGAGCACGCCATGGAACAGCTTATCATGCGCATATGTGCGCTGGGCTGCGCCGCAGGGCGGCGCCAGCCTGGACGGCAACAAGAGCAGCGTGGAGCAGGCGGCGGTCATGTGCACCGCGGTCTTTGACGGAGACCTGCCGCTGCTGCGCCGCCTCATCACCGCCGGAGTGTCGGTTGATGCGGGAGACTACGGTGGGAGCCGCTGCTGCTGGTGTGGGGGGTTTCTCCTCAGGCAGCCGTGCTGGCTGCCGACTTGGGCAGCTGGCCGATCGTGCTGCTGCTGTTCTGGAGGCACGCGACGAGCTGTCTGGCTTTCTTTTCTGTCTCTGGCTGCTGCCGATTACCCCTCGCTGGCGGTGTCCCGTCCCTGCCGCAGACAGGCGCACCGCGCTGCACATCAGCGCCGCCGAGGGCAACCTGCAGGCGGTGCGGCTGCTGATTGAGGAGGGCGGCGCCGACCCGGAAGGTGAGGGGCTTCCCCTGGCGCTGCTCCGCCGCGCGTTGCACCTGGGTGTTCAGCAGCGTGCAGTGCTCCCCAGCCACGCCATGCCATCCCAGCTCCAGTGTGAATCGTGCACCGCCGGATGCGCCCCCTCATGGCCCTGACCCGACTCGCCGCCTGCTGTGCCCCGCGTGCAGTGAAGGACCGCTGGGGCAACACGCCCCTGGATGAGGCGCTGCGGGTGGGGGCCGGCCCTGTCATTCGCTACTTCAATTCCATGGGAGTGGCGCCGAGCGCAGGGTCGGCGGCGGCGGCAGCCACTGCCAGCATCCTGTCGGCAGCCAGGGCTGCGGGAGGTGCGGGCCCGGCCGATGGCTCGGCAGCAGCAGGCGGCGCAGGCGGCGGCATGCGGCCGCTGGAGGCGGTGGCAGAGTCTGTGCCGCCGCCGCCGCCGGGCCTGCGGCGAGGTGCCGGCAGCGGCACTGCTGGCGGCGCTGTCGATGATGGCGCCTCCCCCCCCACCATCGAGCAGGGAGCGTGAACCGCTGTTGCTGCAGGTTTTTTTGGCTCTCCTGCTGCTTTGTTTTTCCCGTCCACACTGCGGGCACTACGCCATACATCATTTTTTCCTTTCTGATTGATAACCACCAACCTACCCACCTGCACCGGCCCGCTGCCTGGGCAGTGCTTCAATGCACGCTTTGTGACCTAGCGACCGAGTCAGCCCTGTGCCGTTTGCCTCCAGACAACAAATGCTATTGCTTCCCCCTCAACACATGCTCCCTTGTAGCGTCCTTGTTTCAAAGCTGCCCTTGTCCACCCTGCGATGCACTTCAAAAAATCACCTCCGTGCGTTGATATGATTTATGTTAAAACGCATTGTGACCTGGTCATTTCCCGCAATGCTGCCTACCCATGCACACTTGTGGCAAGCCGGCCGAAAGGTGCAGATTGCGGGTGATTCAAACCCTAGAGATTGGAAATCAGAGAAAAGGATGCCATGGGTTGACGCAAGGAAAACATGTAGCAATAGTAGCAATATGAATGGGGTGAGGGGTATGGTGGCTCAGGTACCTGGGTGGCTGAAAGGGAAACTTGTGCTTGTGTGGGCTTAAAGTCTGGTAAAGCAAGAACTAGCTTGCAACATAGACTCCCCGCCGAAACGGGACGGGAACCGGGCGAAAGCAGAGAAAGCAATAAAACAGGGGTGGAGCAAGGCGACATGCAACGCAAGCAGCTGACAGGGCACGCATCGAAACGTGTGTATGACTGGCAAAGTGGCATGGCGCATTGGGGAGAAACGCAACGGTACGGGAGCATGGGCTGGCCAAACGGCAGTGCGGAACGCTAGGTCACTAGAAAAGCAGGGAAAGGCGCACTATGTATGCAATGAGGGCAGCCCCCGGC